ATGCTATAAATACAACCACCACACAATTCCTTATGTTCCCCTGCATATGTGAATTATGTATTAAAGAATATTACTTAGACTCGGTAGCAAAGCATATACTATGACCTTTAGCAGCTGTCAGATAAACAAGAAAGAGAGATAAGAATATTTGCAGAAGTTCTAAGTAAATGAAAATACCTTGACAGTGGCTTAAATTACCATGCATATGATGTAGTACCCAAGAACGTACATTTTTTGTCACTATAAAAGACACCATAAGAAATGTCAAAATAAACAAATCCCTCTATTAGGAAATGAAACTAAAAAAGAGTTCTCCCTATAAATGTTGAGAAATAGAATAGGACAGTCTAGGAATGTTTTTAGCTTTTTTTTTTTCTGGCACCTTTAACTGGGTGACTGATTACATTAATTTATTTTTCTTACCTTTTAGAAAAGACTGGAAGTCTCTGCCCTTATTTTCATTGATTTTGCCTTCTAGAGAAGAAAGCATCTTGCTTGCATCATTCATCGCAGCAGCAATGCTGTCAACCTTCTTCTGTAGAAAAGTCAGTTTCATCTCCTGGCTGCTAATCTTCTCATTCATTTTTTGTGTAAATGCTTGGTCAGAGAACAAAATGAGAAGAAAAAAAAAAAAGTAGTGTTAAAACATGGCGGGGGGGAGAAAGTGTAATTGACTTGAGAGACATTAGCCAGAAGCAGGGTGAAAAGTTTCTGAATTTTTAGTCTTGAGTGAATCATCTTGATTTTTGTCATATGTCATGTATTAGCGACATTCAGCAGCACAGCAGTATCTAATTACTGAAGCATCTGTATCCATTATAAAGTATTTATAATTCTACAAGACTGTTTTGAATGGTTAGCATATTTTAATCAGCATAATGCCATTCTTCCTTAACCTAGCACCCTACAGGGTATTCCGTTAGCTCAAATGTAGTCTATCTCCTTTAATACAGTCACAAAAGCATGGATTTTTACTTCCCGTTTACAACATAACTTCATGAATTTGGAAGGCTTGTGGCTGAAGGAATACATCATCTTTTCAGTGTTGAGGTCAAAATAAAGACTTGTTCAACACAGTAGCAAGGCAGAAAAACAGCTAATAGATAAATGACTTTGGAATAATCATTAGTCTGTCATTAAGAAAAGATGCCCAATTTGTGAAGTCAAGTTTATCTCAAAACCTGCACAAATTGTTCCTGACTATTTGTAGCCTCTTCAGGTATAAAAAGGCCTAGCTGGATGCTTTTAAGATAGGCAGTGGTGAAGAAGGCCTTGGTCTTGCAAGTTAAGACTCCACATGACTTCAGCTAGCCGTCTGAGTTTCACAGCTGACAGGAATGAGACTTAGTCTGGGATTTTCAGAAGGTGCTGATAAAATTGTGTGTTCTAATTCCTGTAAGCAAAGCTACAAAATCTCTTCAGTTCCTCCAACAATTCAGCCTAAATAGCTTACCTTAGATACATGATATACTACCCTACATGATCCAGGCCATACTATGACTTAATAAACTGCTATGCAAGAGATTATTTAGCAGTACATACAAATATTTAATAGTGTAAACTTACGGTACTGCTGTTGATCTTATCTCAGTTTTCATTATGGCATCAGTGTCTATTCCCATAGCAGTAAACAGTTACAATCAGAAATCATGTAGAGGCATAGGGGCCTAGAGACTACAGCAAAAAAAAACCCAAAAAAGGGCATACTCTTCTAACTAGACTTTTATTCTTCAAAATTCTAGTATATAAAAAATAAATGTATCTTATCTAACTCGATAGCGTTTGGGAAAATTCAAAAAATTCAGTGCAGATGAAGCGTGCCAACACCGGTGAGAATGCTCTCCTGTAGAGGCACGCTGGTTGTAGAATTCATAACTGGTAGAGCCTAGTGAATAAGGCTGGCTATTTTAGGTAGGATGTTAGCATCTCCAGCTGTTTACTTTGCCCATGGTGTCTACTTACAGCGTCACAAAACTGTGTTTATAACTCAACCACGTAGTTTAAAGTCTGGCAATTCTCCCCAACGGCACTGTGGAGACAAGCCATTGATGGCTCTTCATCTGAATACCTTTCATCATAATACTACTTTGTGACAGACAGGTCTGGATACTTCTGCTCCTGGTTGAATTGTTACTATGAGAAAGTGATTTGAATTCATTACTGGCTCATGCATCGTCACCCAAACCGACAACTAACCTGCAGGGTGCAATGCTTTCTTCAGGTCGGTTTCTGTCATTTCCTACTGAAGGGAGAAGACAAGCTGTATAAATGAACCTGAAAGTGAGGTTTATAAGTGGCATGGATGCATAGTGGGAGCTGGAAACAGAATCTGGCTTGTAAAATCATGCCAGCTGCTGGTGGAACAAAAGACCAGGGCAGTCAGTAACAGCCCCAGTTCATGTTGGCAGGCTTGGCAGCCAGAACAGGTATCTCTCTCCTTCTAAACTGACCCCATTTGATTTAAAAATAACAGAAAAACATCTAACATGGAGCTCTGAGATTCCAATTTCAGAGTTATTTTTCAGAGCAGAATTCCTCCTAAGAGAAGTGGCACGTTTTAATGCTCTATTGATCAAGCTCACTTTTTCATATGGGTCCTGTCTGCTTTACTAGACAACATCCTCCTCCCTCCAGTACTGGGAAACTTGGTTGTTCATCAATGTCATCAAGGGGCAACAGCCTTCTCCTTTCTAACTCCCATTTGAAAATACCTTTCTATATCTTCATGCCAGCTTCAGTTTTTCCCTCTCCTGCCTATGCTTTCTAGTTTCTCTATTTGTCTATTATGATTTAAAGTAAAACACATACGGACATAAGCACATACATGTGTACTGTCTCCATAAAACACTGTGGCAGTGGCAGTCTGGATGCTGACTTCCTGTTCTCCCAGCACGCATGTATATCCCAGCACAAGAAGAGCATATTGACAACTGCAACATACAGACCTGAGAACATAACTTGCCTTATTATTTGGTTCCACAATTTTTTTTTTGGATACAGGCCAACTGTGTGAGTGAGAATAACACCATAATGTGCAACAGCTTACGATTATACAAATAGCCAATGTAGATATCCGTAATCGAAATATCAACAGATTCACAAGTAAAGGGAGGTAGAAAGAAAGTTCAAGCAACATGCCTCCTTTACACTGCCTTTCACATCTTGTCCATCTTCTGGCTCCTCACCATGTAAACTACAAGCTCATTTGACAGCATGCAGAGAATGATGCCAAATAACCTGCACATAATTTGCCACCAAAAATTTACCTGACAAATGCAGTCTCACTCACTGCTGGGGAGTATATCACAAGCATAGAATAATTTTGTCAACTTCCTTATTCAAGCACGTTACATATATTTATTTTGTTGCTACTTAAACACGATATGCTGATTGTTGGCAGTTCTCTGAGTACACAGACTTTCTAAATAATTCTGCATTACCAACATCTCTATACCCTCAAAGGCAAGTACACCTTCAGGTGGTACAGACTGGACTATAGTATAGTCTGTCAACTACTTGAATACCTCTAAATCATTAATACCTTTTCATGTTTCTTTATAGTGAAGACTTAATATTTGAATTCATCGTTAAATGGTATGATCTGATAAACCATGATTTTTTCTTGTCCTTTTTCTGGTCCCAGTTTAGTGAGTGTGCAAACACTCCTGGCATTAGTAAAATTCCGTTCCTATGAATACTTATGCAGACAACTATGAAATTAATTTTCTGGAACATTTGTGCTGGTAAACTTTAAATCATACAGATGTAATGGAAAATAAATATTAAGGAAAGTAATCACACCCAACAATTCTAGATATGAAGAGATGGAGAAGCTTTTCATGCACTGACTTTTCATGCAACTTCTCAATGTAGGTCATTATTTGAATAAAAGCATTGTTGCTCCTAACTAGGTCTTATAATGCTGAGGTCTACACATATCCTTGCAAGAAATCACTGACATTTTGTTCTAAAAACTTATTGTCTAGATAGGCTGAAGTAACCACCACAGTGAGCAAATGAACAGTGTAATAAGAAACAGTCCCAAACATCTGTGGTATAACACTGTAAATTGTTCCTGTCTTGCTCAGGTATTTGATCATTCTAGATGGAGTAGCTTAAAACACACCTAAGATACCCGTGCTAAAGTTTGAAGCGTCATTGTACTGATTTTGAATAATTCAGCAATATTTATAAGAAAACATATGACAATGATCATGTATTCAGATAATACAATTAACATCACTACATTTTCTTTTATGACCAATGCTGGTCTGTACTACTTCTAGATTTGGTTTTGGGGTTTTTTGACTGTGCTGTTTGGAGTTTTTTTCTCTTTTTTGTTATTACTCAGTAATAGAATAGTTTAAATATTTCTATGCAGAATGACTTTCCTGGTTTTAGTTTAGTCACAACACACTCTATAAATACTAAGCTACTTGTACCTTTAAATTCAGTTTCTTCTGCCTATCTTTATCAGAGAAGCATACCACTGAACCATTACTGCTAGAAATTCTAATGGGTCACTAAGGTCCCTTCAAGAGACAGGGATTTTTCTCAAATTGTTTTTGCAGTGATCTTAGTGAGTCACACGGTCAGTGATTGGGCTAGAGGTGATAGTGATTACAGCAGCTGACCTGGCCCACTGGGGTCCTGAGGAACTCCTGGTGCCTTCTCACTGATAGTTCTGCTGCTTTCAGCTTGGTTGCTGTGTATAAGTGACTGCTGTTCTGGAGCTAAAAGAGGGAGAAAAAGGAAAGGATGTCAGCGAAACATGGAGCATGAAAATCAGGATTTCTTTCTTTCAATTGCTTTCTCTCTTTATTCTATACCAACTTTACCAAAGCCTAATCATCTGTAGTGATTCTTATTATCTGCTTAGTCTGCAATACAGTGTGGGACTGCATTGATGAAGACAGTGAATGGCTTTATAAATGGCTTCCTGAGATTGTCAGGGGTTGCTGCTAATACTAAAATGTCAAAACTTGCCCTATAATCAACAGAATTTTAAAATCTCTGGGTCTAAAATTTCTAGAGGAATATTTTAGATCGATATTAAACAGCAGTACAAAGACAATACAGAGATTGTCAGCTGTAAAATTGTTTAGTTTTTTTTACAGGTACAAAATTAGTCAGGTTTGTTGAAACTGATTTTTTTTTTTTTTTGACAGACCACACGAATCTTCAATCATGGAAATCTTCCCACTAAAGGCAATGGTGATATTACATTGTTGTAGCACCTAAAAAATATAAAACATTTCAAAACATAATCAAATTCCAAATTCCAACAAATATCATCTGAGATTTGCAACTGGTACATACATTAAAAAACTTCAAAAACGTGGTAAGTTTGTAAATATTTTCACTGGTCATGGCAGATAAGATTTCCTATGCTTATTTTACATCTCAGCCCAAAGACCCCAAAGCAATTTGCAAAAAGCTAGACTAACGTTATTATTATTTCAATATTACGGTTGGAGAAATTGAGGTCCGGAGAAGTAAAGTGCCTTCCCTCACAAAAAGTAGGGAGCAACCGATAGGATAGCCAGGAACTGAACTGAGATTTCCACCTTCACGACTTCTCTAAGCCATTAGGCTTAGTGTTGTTTTCATTTCATTATTGTTTAAAAAAATGAAATATGTAAAAAGTAGGTTGTAAATTTGCTAGTGTAACTTCGTACCAATTTGCTCATTTCGTACATGCTTGCTCATTTCATGAAGCATCTTGAAGTGGATGTTGTTGCAGCTGGAGCACATGTAACGAATGCCACTTATGTGGCATTGATGTGTTTTCCAGTCTTTAGTACAGTACAAGCAGAATAACTTGGGTATGGTGACATTATTTTCCAGTTCAAATATTAAAACCTAGTCTGGTCATAATGTGAGTTTCCAAGGAGTCAGAATAAAATGCTGAATCAAGAAATTCCCTATGTTTCATCAGCCTCTTGGCAGTATATATAAGGATCAATAAATCACATTTAAGGATGATAGAAGGTGATTGAAGTTGTAAATTAAGGGGTGGGAAGTAACAATTAGGACAGGAACTCAAAAGAAATTATCATATGGACTGAAAGTTTCATAGAATTTATTGAAATTGGCTGATAAGAAATACAAAATTCTCAAATAGTTATAATTTCAATAGCTTCTGTTATCTCTCTGTGCCATAGTTATTGACAGGAGTTAAATACTTGCATTCAGCCCAATTCACTACACAGGATATATCAGGTGGTGATGTGATGATATGATCTATGACAAGGGAGTCAGTTACTTGCCCGTGATAAAGACCAGCTGATCGATGTCCTTTTATTCTTTCATTTACCGATCTTTGTTGCTCTGAATGTATTCACTGTCACTGTTAGTGCTACAAACACCAGATTGTTTTTTATACTATCCATCTTATCTTTCATCCTTCCCTATTAAAATAAGTACCCTACTCACAGCTTCACATTGTGAATATCCAAACCCTTACAGTTTTAGAGTTTCAAGGTTATATATTTATCGCTGTATGCTTGTTTTCCTAATGCTTTAAACTGTTCGGATAACTTAATCCCTGTAAGACCCAGGATGTAGACCTCACCCTGTTGGAGCAAACTAGTCATGGAGCAATCTAATAGTGCATTATACTGCTTTTAAAAGCAGCAAGGACTGTAGCCAGTGATGCACACACAAAAAAAACTCACCCAGAGACAATACGTCACATTGTACAGTTATTAAATTTCATCACTGTATAGGAAAGGTACTTCTCAGGCAGCATTAGAAATTCAAGGTTTTCATTTGTGAAACAAATTCAGAAGAGTCACTGGTAATATATCTTCCCCTACATCATTCTTCCTGTGTGGCTCAGCCCTCTTCCAAAGGAACCACTCTGACACATCATATGGTGATTAAGTCCTTTGTGCTCCTTGGTCCCACAACTGAGATTCCCAACCTAGATGCTGAACAGCAGCAGATGTGATGGGAGCCCCAGACTGAAACTCTAATGCATGTATTTTTAGGTTAGAAATAGCCATCAAATGACTAACATATAAGACCTTTTAAAAATTGGATATGCTATGCTCAGTTTATGCTAAAAAGATAAAATACAAAATAAAAATTAGACTTCTAGACACACTTTATAGGTGCTATTTACAATAAGAAAGCAACAACAACAAAAAAAGCAGCAGCATTTCAAAATGCTGAGCAATGAAGAGCACTTCCAGTTCCTCAAGGAGCTTCTGGGTCCTCAGCACTTCCGAATATCAGGTAACGCACACAGGAATCCAACATTGAATATATTGGCCTAGATGTATAATTTATTGTCCCATGTATTTTTAAACACAGCATGCAAAATGATTTCAGGGAATATTAAAAATATGGAAATTGAATCTTTTTCTCTCAATATATTTTTGATGAAGCAGGAGTAGCTGAAGGGGAATCCCTGTGGAGAGTTTGGTAGTTTCCTCCCATTCCCTGTGTTTCAAGATGAATTGCTACCTTTTGTGTCTGCAGCTTACCCCACGCAGAGGATAGTGCTCTCTCCTGTGCAGAACATTTTACAGCCATCTGCTGGAGAAATGACGTCGCTACCATGCAAGAGAATTCGGTGCTAACAATGGCTATGGCATTGTCAGCAACTCTGGGAACCAGCTGTTTGCTCTAAACCACAGACAGGGCAGATGGAAATGAATTCATATACATTAAGTCACCTCAGCCTCACTTCACAGCACAGCTGAATTCGAACACAGCATGATCTACGTTTGAAGATGCATCTTCCAGTTCTTGAAATCATTTGTGACACACAATACAGTGTTCAGGGACCACATGTGCATGAGCAAACTGAGATTTCTTTCCCTCAGACATTACTATATGCACATTGTTTTCTCCAAATTAAGGATGAAAAGTTAAAATTAATCTGTGTTTAGTAAAAATGACGTCATGAACTTTGCAACTCGGAACTTACAAGCCTTTTCATTTTAGCAGTTTTGCTCCAAAGTTAAGCATTTGATATTCCCAAATCAAAATAATGATGTTTGATTTGTTGAATTGTCCTTATCACGCTGTTTCATGAGACATGTAAGAAATTACGTGTACATTTTTCCTTTCTTAAGTTGTTTGTAAAATTGCATTGTCCATGCTGGACTAGGATCTATGTCTTATCCAATTTGGTCTTGTGTTGCCACATAGGAGGTAAAGGTAGAAACAGTGACCTGAACACGTCTCTTCCCAGAGGCTCCTCTGTCTCACTCACTGCTACGTTACTTTGAGGAGCATCTGTAACCAAGCCGTTACAATGAGGCTACCAAAGATGGTTTACAGATGTCTAGTAATAATTATCAGATAGTGACAAGTATTTACTCCTGCCCAGGCTATCAGACTGAAACAGTCATGTATGATTTCACTTGGTTTGAGAGAGAAGCTAAACCAGAAGGCGTTTTGCATTAGCATTTGCTACAAGCAACCCACATCACTCTAACAGTGCCTTCCCAGGATCCAAAACATATTGTCAGAATACACCAGCTCCCTTGGCAGAGAAACCCTTCAGTAACAGTTCTGTTGTTGAGCAGATGAAGTGCAGAGAGGCCAAGCGGAGGGCTCAGCGACTCTGGAGAGCCCCAGTCAGAGCTTACATTGTCTCTCCCCCTGCCGCTGTAGAAACGGAGTGCCTAAAGACAAGGCTATTGGGCTCCCAACTGTTCAAGTTCATTAGCTGACGTCCCTTCATGGGAATTGAATAATATAGGCAGGGCTTGTGCTGGTGGTCTGTTCCTCATGGGAGGCAGGATTCCAGAAGCGGGGAAGAAGAGCCTTTCTGACATAACACCTTTCATCCCAATCTCTTTAAGCACTTCTACAAGCATTAATTAATTAAATATCCCAGTGCCCCTGTGAGATAAGTGTCATCTCAATTTTCTAGATGGGTAAACTTGGGTATGCAGATTATAAGTGGCTTCCCCAAGTAATTCAGCAAGCCAGAAGAGGTTTGAAAACAGAACCCAGGAGATGTAATTTCAAACTGGCTCCTGTAACACTTGACAACATTTTCCTTTATTCGTATTTTTACACTGATGCCACTACAAATTGAGTTATACAGCTTGTTTTCCTGGTTAATGCTTCCCTGTTGTTTTGATGCCTGCCATTTCAATTTTATCAACTCTAGCCTCCTTCTTCAATAAGCATTTTTTAATTTATTTTTGCTAACGTTTGCAATTTTTAAAAGCAAACCTTTAAATCATCTGATCCATGCTCACTGGACAGCCTTGCTGACCGACTGTCTCCCGCATTAATATCTGACTCCACACTCAGCTGCACAGAAGAGAATTCTGTGCTTGCTGAGGTTCTGGCTCTTCAGCATTGAAATTTCCCTCCTGGATGTGAATAACAGTGATTTCTCTTCATTCCTCTACATTAATTTTTAATCACAGCCTCTACTTTACCACTGCTGATTGAATTCCCCACCACATCTAATGGCCTTTCTTGTAATATTCATTCATTTAAAATATGTATGCTGATGCCATATCTTATTTTTCAAGGGTTGCTTGTTTAAGGCCAGCAGCAAAGAAATAGCTATTATACAGATGTTAAACTACAGTACATTGTCATATGTTTGATCACCAGGGCAGAGGTAAAACACTCTATTCTGTCAAAAAAGGGCACAATTATACAGGGATCATGTGTAATACCTAGTAAAATTCATTCAATGTTGAAACGAACAACAGAAGTCCTACTAAATTCAGAGGGAAACAAAGTTGGTACATTATTTTATCATGTCTAAAATATATACTTAGAGCCCGAAACTGAAAACCAAAAGACTCACAGTGCTGTAGATTAATTTTACAGCAAGTATTCAACAGAGGATCTGGATTTAACATCCCCAGAACCGCAATACTCAATAACTAAAAGGTCAAAAGTAGAGATGCACAGAATGCAAACTCCATATTTTAGCAAAATGGAATAAGGCCGAAGATTTTATGAGTTTTATTTAGAGTTGAAGAGAGGAAAGGACATTCTGCTTAGCTACTTTGGAAATACATGTGCAGGGAAGAGTCATCATCCCAAAGCATTTTAGTTTACTGTGCTTTTTTCCTGGTTTTAAATTAACAGGAAGGACTGTATGGATTTTCAGCAGAGCCATTTGCTTGCAAATCGGATTGCATTGTTTTCTATTGTTGAAGTGAACAGTTGCAAATCTTTACAACTCTACGCACCTTTGGGTTGGCAGTTTTGCCCACCGTACCCAGGACAGCACTTCCACTCCAGCGATGTTACTATTTTATGTTTGATTCTGTAGGCCTGGTGTGTTGTTGTCTGGGACCTGCAAAACAAGAACATTTTAAACCTATTTCAGGTGACCAAATGGGAGTTGTAGGATACCTGTATAACAGAATTATGTTATCTTACATGTCAAATGTATGCATTCATTAACTGCTTGAAACTGAAAGTGGAGCCTAACTAGGGTTTTGTGTTTCAATAGCAATCACAGTTTTAATATTTCAGCCTTCAGATCATCTGCACGGATTTTAAAGGAACCTGACTGATGTCTGTTTAGTGCTGTCGGACTTTTTCCCTGAATATCTTATTCGGGAGTCAAATGCTGCTAACTTTTATGGAAGATATTACAATTAATATCTACTAAACTGGACAGAGTGAGCCAAAAATACAATTGTGAAATACTGTTTGTTTGGTTTTTTTAATCAGTGAAAAAAAAAGCATTCACAATGAATTTATGACACGTCAGTTCATATTTAGTGCACACTGGAATCCTTCCATTCTGATTATTTCAGACAAGATTATACAAACTTTAATCTGATAAATCGTGAAAATTTCCACTCTGGCAGTCAGTGGAAGGAGGGTATGTAATTGTGATGCCTCGGTTATCAGCGTTACAGTATGTAACTGCAGAGGCAGCAGCAATTCTGTTTCTGTGTTCCAACACATTCTGAATGTCCTGGCTACTCCCTCACTTCTTTTAACTTTCTTAACTTCACAGAGAAATCAGTTTAGAATGAACATGATGCAGTAGGGCATACAGAAGAAATTAACTACAGCAAGTCTACCCGTCTCTTTTAATACATTAAAAACAAAGTTTGAATAAAAAGAATATGACACAGTTCTGCTAGTTGCTAAACACTACCATGAAGAACATCTCAAATCTCAGAAAATACAATGATGAAATTGTTACAGAACGGGTTTGGACACACAATCCCTGTCTAAATCATTTCAGAGAACAGGACAAATTTGAAGAGTGTCAGACCAAAAAAATATCCTCCCGATGAATTAAAAAATGCTACCTTGTTTTACACTGTAGTTAATCTTGTCACCCCTTCACAAGGGTTGTAATATTATATATATTAAAATTCATAGCAGCTGGCAGGAGCTTTGCATGTGTCCCCAACCAGCTTTGCCTCTGAGAAATGGCCTTTTCAGCAGCAAGAACTCAATAAAGATTAAGGTGAACTGAAATCAAGAGAGTTCTTAGTTCTTTTGCTCTACGGATGGTCTTTTTTTATGATAAAACTACCTTATTCTGCATTAGCATAATCCATTCCTGAAAGCACTCATAAAAATGAAGTGTCCATGAAAGCAGTTAATAAGGAATAGCTATTTCAAAAATAAATCTCCATGTAGACAAGCCCCAGAACTGTATATAGTAGAGACTTATTTACAGGAGTAGCACAAGGACCTGATTTTCCTACAAAAATTAAATCAGAGTTATTGTGAATCCTCTAGATGGAATTAGAAATAAAACTGGCAACATTTCAGCCACAGGGTCATTCCAAAGGTTTGCAATACAACCGAATGTATTTCAGAGTCACCAAATCCTAAGGATACTCTGTTCCTGGTTTCACCTCAAAGTTTTAAGCGTGTTCTGCCATACCACCTAGAGGACAATTCTCAGAACAGTGAAACTGACTTGTAAGAGGCTTTTGAAACTTTTCAAAGGGAAAATATGTAACAACTTCTGTTTTGTTGGTGCCATTTCAGTTTGCCATTTTCCAGGCCCATGCATTAAAACCCAATTTCATTTAGTGTTGAAATCTAATGTTTGGAGAACACAGTGAGGCACCCAAAGCACTAACAACAATCTGAATGTTTAACAAGCAGAGTTATTATTTACAAGTTGTATCCAGGCCAACTCCTTTCCTAGGTTCACTACCTGACCAAAGCTATGCCAGAAATAAGCACCCAGCAGAGAGATAACAACAAAAATATTTATGCCTCTCAGAGGAAGCCTTTTGCTTCAACAAAGCACAAGCTTGGAAAACTGTACAGAAAGGATATTCTTTCCCACATGTGCTTTAAAGCTTTGTACATGAGAACCTTTCGTTGCAGTGCTGTGGAAGAGGGGAGCAGGCAATGGACTTACTTGAAGACTTTGAACTGATCAGAGGGTGCCAGAGTGAAAGCATGCCAAGCCTGTATTGTGGAGCTTCCCATTCGAGAGCTTTTGTACTTGATCTAGGGACATGTGAAGATCGGACCTGAAAACATGCTAATCTGCTCCCTCCTGTATTCATTTTCATTTCTAAAGTCATGGTGGTACTAATTATGCAGCAAGTACTTGTAAGTACTCTTTATTCCAAGTTCTACAAACCTCTGAGCACAGGATCCAATATGCCAAGTGCAAGGCTTCGCTCTGCCTGATGAAAAGGTTTCTAGGTTGTCCACTACCACTGTAGGTAAGAGTCTGGTATGGACATAAGCACACCAGTTCCTGTAAGAGACAGAAGGTAAATATAATTAAAAGTACAGGTAATGTTTTCCACAATATGAATAGAATAGAATACGCTGTTTCAATTGGAAGGGACCTACAACGATCACCCAGCCCAATTGCCTGACCAATTCAGGGCTGACCAAAAGTTAAAGCCTGTTATTAACGGCATTAAGGGCACACAGACATGCTTTGGGCATCGACCAGCTCTCTAGGAAGCCTGTTCCAGTGTTTGACCACCCTCTCGGTAAAGAAATGCTTCCTAATGTCCAGTCTAAACCTCCCCTGGCTCAGCTTTGAGCCATTCCCGCATGTCCTGGCACTGGATCCCAGGCAGAAGAGATCAGCACCTCCCGCTCCACTTCCCCTCCTCGGGAAGCTGCAGAGAGCCATGAGGTCGCACCTCAGCCTCCTTTTCTCCAAACTAGACAAGCCTAAAGTCCTTAGACAGTCCTCATAGGACATCCCTTCCAGCCTTTTCACCAGCTTTGTTGCCCTACTCTGGATGCATTCAAGGACCTTCACAAGCTTCTTAAATTTTGGGGCCCAGAACTGCACACAATACTCAAGGTGAGGCTGCACCAACGCTGAATACAGCAGGATAATCACCTCTTTTACCGGCTGGTGATGCTGTGTTTGATGCACCCCAGGGTGCGGTTTTCCCTCTTGGCTGCCCGGGCACACTGCTGACTCATATTGAGCCTGCTGTCAGCCATCACCCCCAGACCCCTTTCTGCAGGGCTGCTCTCCAGCCCCTCCTCTCCCAATTTATACTTGTGCCCAGTGTTACTCCATCCTGGGTGCAGAGCCTGGCATTTTGGCTTGTTAAATTTCATCCTGTTAACCATAGCCCAATTCTCCAATCTATCTAGACCCCTCTGCAAGGCTTCTTGTCCCTCAAGAGAGTCAACAGCACCTCCCAGTTTGGTATCATCAGCAAACTTGCTAATGGTACATTCAACTCCTGCATCCAGATCATTGATAAATGTATTGAACAGCACTAGCCCTAAAATTGAACCCTGAGGAACACTGTTGGTGGTGACTGGTCGCCAACAAGATGTAGCCCCATTCACTACAACCCTTTCAGCTCTGCCCTTCAGGCAGTTCTTCACCCAGTGCACCGTGAACCTGCTCATCCCACAGTTGGACAACTTGTCCAGAAGGATGTTGTGAGGGACAGTATCAAAAGCCTTACTAAAATCCAGAAAAACTACATCCACCGCCTTCCCTTCATCCACTAGATGGGTGAATTTATCATAGAAGGCTATAAAATTAAACAGGACTTTCCTTTTGTGAACCCATATTGACTGTGCTTGATGATTGCATTATTCTTTAAATGCCTTTCAACAGTACTCAGTATAATCTTCTCCATCATTTTTCCAGGAACTACGGTTAGACTAACAGGTCTGTAGTTCCCTGGGTCTTCCCTCATGCCCTTTTTGTGGACTGGAATAACATTGATGATATATGGATGTATATTGGAATATACAAAGGGGAAAGTTAAACACATAGGACTAAGTTATGAAAATTAAGTTTGATTTTTCTCAGACTGCCAGTGCAGTCTTGAGCAATTACCTAGTCTTTGTGCTTCAGCTACCCATTAACAACTAAGAAAACAGACAATCATTTCTCCATCTCTACATATATTTATATTGCAAATCTAAGTTTTTCTTTGTAAACGTTTGTGGAGAACCAAGTACAAAGAAGCTCTTCCAGACTGCAGTAATGACAGGTCTTAAAATACACCTACATTTCAGATTATAGAAACTGTTTATCCAGAATTCAAAGGATTGTTTAGTAAGGTTTTTAACCACCCATAACTTTGCCTTTATGGATAGACATTTTTACTCTTCCTCCCTTTCCCCAGCATTCCTCTGAGCACATGCAGACTGTGTTTTGCAGTGCACTTAGAGGTCAAAGCAACAAACAGCAATAATGCACCATAGCTCCACACTTGCCTGTGCCACTGGCTATACACCTACAGAAGGAAGTCACATACAAAATGATCAAACTCTTGATCACAGTGGCACAGGACATAGGAGCTGGTGGGTGCAAGGCCAGGTTCATTTTTTTTTTTTTAAATAGGATTCCAAGGAGACTGCAAGAAACCACAAAGTGTTAAACTGGATTTTAAAACCAGGTGACTTGGTAGAAGCTACAGTAGAGGGCAGAATTAAGCAGAAATTATAAACTGTTTAATGGCTCTGTACAGGGAAATCATGCCTCAGAAATCTATCGGCATTCTCTGAATCAGAAGCAGGTAGATAAAGGGCTGATTTTCAGAGGCTTTTGGCAAGGTCACTCACCAAAAGCTATTAAAGGGAAGGGGGGGCGAGGGGGAAAGCAATCAAAAAAAATCTGTCACGTAGTGAGGGAATAGATCCTGTTATAGATTAATAAGGCATTAAATCAGAGAGGTGAAAGACTAGTTGGCTTTCTCAAGAAACAGTTTATCAGCAGAATCCCATGTGAATCTAACAGACATTATATTCATTAGTGAGGGGGAAAGCAGGTGAATAGGGAGATGACAGGGCTATACAAAGCTAAACAAAATCATTTTGTGTAGTAAACCTAAAGCTGATCTCGAAGAATTGCAGAAATCTCATGATACTCAATTTCCAACTAATTAAGTGTCAGAAAAGGGTTTTGTAATGCTGAGTCAGGCACAAATAAAGACAGTCTTATACAGACAGTATGACTACCCAAATTAACTATCATTAGGAAAAAGATCTTGGAGTCATTGTGATTAGCTCTTTGAATATGCTGATTTAGGATTTTGCATTAACTAAACTAGTGAATCAAATACATGAAATTATTAGGGAAGGACTAGAGAACAAACAGAAATCACCACTGTTTTGGCATATCAACTCCTTGTTGCCGTATATGACTCTACGGTTAGCCCACAGTTTGAATACAGAATTCAGTTTTGTTCCTACATCCTAAAGAGAGGTGAAAAGAAAGATAGAAACAGAAGATGAAGAACAGGAGGGATGGGAAGTCGTGAGGTTCATTATTCAGCTGGTCTTCTTATAACAAAGAGACACAAAGCCAAAACGAGTTTAAACTTAAAGAAAAAAAGAAAGGGGGGGTGGGGGGGGGTGGGGAGGGACACGTTTCCGCAAACATAAACCATGCCAGATTTGGAGTTTTGGAAGCCAAATAGGATTCTAAAAAGTATTTAAATGATTTCATGAAAGAACATGCCATTAGGGTGTTGTTGTTAGTTTGCTGGGGTTTTTTAAAACATAAGATTGCAGGTGTAATCTTTATCTCAGGAAGTCCCCCAGCTGCAGATTGCCAGCCATCCTTAAGAAAGTATTATTGCATTTCTGCTGATGGAACAAATGTCTGTTTGGTCTAGAAGGGATTTTTTTCCTTTTCCCTAACTTATTACAGCCTTTCTTAGAGCCATACATTATTCCTTTGTCCATGCTGAAAATATTCCATTTTTGACTTGGGAAGTTAGTGACAAGACATTGTTTCAGTTGTAGGGTTGGTGAACTTGCAAGTACTTCCATACCAATATTTGCACCTATGAACTTAAAAGTCCATCTTCCTGGGTCTTGTTTTGCTGCTAACTTTTGCTTCCAGTTCTAGTAGTTCTGTTAGTGTTTCATAATCCAGTAAGGAAATATACATTTACATTACCCAGCTGGCCCTGAAATCAGTATCTTGCTATGGGCTCCTTACAGTGGAAATCAAAATATAATTAAGACCAGATTAGTTCCATTTACTTAACTGGCATTAGTACAGATTTACACTGCTTCAAACAAGAAAAGCAGTACAAAACACAAAATAGTATCAGAGCCTATCCTTAAATGATTGCTTTTGTCTTCCAAGATCCTACCAATGCAATCGCATCAAATTCAGTAGTACTTTACTGGGAAAATGTTTCCTGGGAAAACAGCAGGATAACCTAGGAAGTAAGATGCTAAGCAAGGCTAACAGATTGAACCTTTCAGTATTTCTGCTGCCACTATCATATTGTGATCCTCCCTCACACAACACATATTGTTTAATTGATGAATAATGTGTTTCATATAAAATGGGTTTTTATTGAGTCTCTTTGATCTGTTTTTGCTCTCTCACTCTCCACTTCCTCGAGAGTTTTCATTAGGATAATATTTCTTTTTAATTGGGTATGAAAAAGCTGTGCTTTTGTTTGATGCTTCCTTTATGTTCTGTCTCCTCTAGCTATAGCCTTTTGTCTGTGTGTATAAATTAGAGACTCCATGAATAAATATTTGCCAAAAATTAAATGCAGCTCTCAACCATAAGCTTAAAGATTAGGTACTCTTCTCACTACCTCTGTGGAAGCCAGGAGCAACTATATGCAAGTTCAAGGCGCATAACATTGGCAGAATCAAAAGGAGACTTAAGTCTTTTGAGTTTTACAGCGGGATCATGACATTACTTATACCACCCCTCTGGCTGGGGCATATGGGTTCTTTACAGGACTGTGCTGAGAACACAGAGACTAGCAGTAGTAACTAAATAACAATGACATCTGTGGTTAAACGTCGCCAGCAGTTAGCCAGAGAGGCTTGTAGCTCCATCCCTTCCAGCACATCTCTGCAGCAGCAAGGGAACTCAGGCATCCCATCTTGCCAAATGTTCCGTAGGAGCAGGACATGGCAGGGCACTGAGCTCCCTTACAAGCATGACCAAGAAGACAGCTCTTCCATGGGCCTTCCTTGCTGAGCATCAGGGAGCAGCAAGAGCAGGGCTTCTCCCTAGCAGAAGGTGAGCCAGGAGGGGAGGGGAATGACTATGCCAGCTGTGCGCTCACCCCCCCAGCAGCATGCCAGTACCGCAGCACCAGAGGTAGGCAAGCAGCATTAGGGTGACAGGAACAGGTCAATTAGCAGCCTGGCAAGTATCAGGCAGGGGCTAGGTAACAAGCAGGGTCCAAGAGGACTGCTACAGACAAGCCCCTTTATGAGGAGAACAGGCGTAAGCCTGGGCTTAAACAGAACCCCGACGCATGTGTGTGGGTAGAGGTT